CAGGAAGAAAATGCAGCTACAGAAGCCCCACATAGCCACATCTGGTGCAGACCAGGCTCCTAGTCACCACAACAGGAGGCAGCTACTCCCCAGTTGTACTGAGGCCCACTGCTATCGCCCGACTCCCTGAGGAGTGCTCTGTGTCCAGGAAAATCACAGAACGGTGTGTGGCCAACCTAGCAGTTCCCAAGTCTCTGCTCAGAGAAATCAGGGAGAAATATTTCCTGAGTTGCAAAACTTGGATGGGAATTTATAGCTACAAAGCTCCCGATGTACAAACCAAGCCAGAGAGAAAAGCTGCTCAAACTAACACTGCGATCCCACCTCCGTACATTGCCAGCCAAGGAATGGTCCTTCATGCCAAACTCATGTTTCCTAAACAGTAACTTATCCCACTCCCCTCATCCATGGTAAATCTGATGTTTGTGTTGATCAAAATATTCCTAAATATTGCTTTCAACTGTTTGATCTTCTGCAATTGAAAACTGCACTTCACAGCTTAGTCATGGTGGAAACTGGTTACTTTTTAACTTGTAAATTATTTTGTTGAGAGAAAATAGGTGTATCACTCACTCTTAGGAGGGAGATAAAAGCAATGAAAATACAGTTTAATTGTTTACATAGGCTGTCTCGGTACTTCTTGAAAAAGAACAGAAAATGCTGTTTTTATAGAGACACATTCATTGAAAAAATATAAAGTGGAAAATACAGAAAAGTCACTCATACACAGATTTGCTTTCATGTAGAGTTAACTTTTTACTCTTAAAAGACTCTGCAGTAGCTCTTCAAAGGTTAGGGAAGTTTTGGTAGCATAGGCACGTTTACTGGAAATCCTAAAACTTGTATTTTCCCTATGTAAGACTTAGAAGCTTTTCATAAAACTCCCTCAGGCATAGTCATTCTTACCTTTTGTTTACATTAAGAGTGGGTAGTAAATATTGACAAATAATTTATCAATCCCAAATTTATTTCCAGACATCAATTCTTCAATTCAGTGATGAAATACAGCATAAACCATCTGCAAATCAGCATTTATGACAAGAGAACTGTTAGTATGAAAGAATCACTTGTGCAAATACTTGCTTTCAAATTCAGTTACTGTCTAGGGGAAAGCCCATCATCAATATTTCTGTGAACAAGGAATTATTCTCTATGTACAAATGGCATATCTTAAAACATAGCCTGATTTTCAGAAAATGTTTGTCCTCTGCCTTTGAAGGAGGAGAAAGGAAGTCAGCCTGTTTTAATGTATGACAGCTGGGACCCCCCAAATTAGAACAACCGGTTTTTCTAAAAAACATGGACCCGAAATGAATGCTTGTACTTTCCTCTCCTCCACCTGAGACTGTGGCTCCTACATCTATTACAGTCCCTTTCCACATATATTCTAGAAAAGAAGGTCTTCCTTTGCAGCACTGATTTGATTTCAGGTCCATTACACTTAGGCACAGCAAAAGCATTTGGAATACTTAAGAAACCTTCAAATGAAGTTGCTAGAGAGGAGCTTGCAATCTCCTGTTAAATCACCTATGCCATCTGTCCAGAATTTCCTGAAGAAATTGCTATGAAAACATACAGCCAAGAACATAACAGCACCCCAGATTTCTTTGTAGATGTGTTCTTAATGTTCAGGATAATTATCTTCTCAACGAGATTCGGTAATAATCACAGACTTTTCCTTAGGTAATTTAAGGACTTCATAAATGGCAAAGACATTTCAGTATCTTGGTCTATATACACAGATGAAAGCCATGATCATAGAAAACTCTTACAAAAATCTCTCTTCTGGGAAAATGAGAAGAGTTTGCTACATTTACTAAATAATTTAGCAGCTGCATTCCCTCTTTTTTTCAGGGAAAGGAATAGGTACCTTTTGGCAGAGATGCACAGTGTTAATTTGACTTAGTCCGTTCTCTGCCTAACAGGCTCCTGGGTGTCAGGATGAGCAGCCGCACCCTCCCTCGGCTTCTCACCTGGGGTCATCCCCGGAGCTCAGCATCCTGACTGCCTCCGCTCAGCACCTACGTTATGCCTCAGAAGTAGATGGCGACACGGTATGGACTACAGCTATGGCATACACGCCAGGCTTCAAGAGCTGTGGTTTCCATCATGTGCGTCCACTGTGATTTAGTTACATTAATGCAACTGCACTTACATAGGATGGGCTTTCTTGAAAGAAAAAAATCAACAACCTTTCAGCAGAGACAGCAGCATTCCAAATATTGGCAAAATATTGCAGTTGGCGAGTAACGTTTGCTGAACTCATTTGACATTTGCCTGAAAATTGCCCATGAACAGTTAGCAAGATTCTCAAATGTGCTCATTATCTGGAGGATTACTCCTGATGTGCAGACAGCTCATAAAAGGTTTGCTGCAAATACTCACAGTCTCCATCAGGTCAACTACCTACAGAAGTTCCCCAGTACTGCTTTCTGTGCCCCAACTGGGGGGCTTCTCTGGCTCGCGCAGCACGAGCTGTGAATAACGCAATTAAGCCTGACTTCAAGCCTGACTTCAAGTCACAACATGGAAACACAACGCTAAACATTTGCTTTTCAGTCATCTACCCTAGCAAAGCTTGAGCCTTTGATTACTTATAGTATGACAGCCAGGTTGGCAAAAAGGGGCAGATGGAATTAAAACATTTTTAAAAACAAGGATCCAAGATCTTAACGCTGCTGCTGCCCTGCTAAAAAGCTTTCTTTCACCCCACATAACAAAGGAAAGGAGGTGACACTTCCCTTTGCCTGTGCCAATGTCCTCAGACGTGAGATACCCTATCCCAACAGACAAAATCCAAAGCTGATAAAGGCTTTCTGCTCTCCCTGTGATGACCCATATCCTACAGTTAGAAGGTCTTCAAATTTCAACACCAGATTCAAGATAATGGCAAAACTAAAGGAAAAAAAAAAAAAAAAAAAGTCATCCTTATAGTGACAATGTACTGAATCCAGTACCAGGACTAGAAACCCAATATATTAACAAATTTGCTATACATTTTAATATTTAAAGGCAGCTTTTGATATATGTACTATTCACTAAGTTAAAAATATTTTGAAGAACTTCTGGGCAAACTGCTAAATGAACCACAATAACACGCGGGCATTGAAGTGCTTTCAGTTGTTATCTAGATGAAGGTAGTGACCTTAGTTCACATACTTTATTCCTCCTCCTTTCCAAATGAGTAATTAACACAAAAGTTTTAAATAACTGAAAGTTCACGTAATGAAGACTAGCAGGACAGCTTTAGCTGTAAGAATCTATAAGGAGATTATAGTCAGTGCATATTTAGCAAACATTCAGACTGTTTCTGTGCTGTTTCACACCCCAGTGTGACGCAGGGCCCCAGGGTAACAGCCCTTCAGCGGGAGAGCCTGCCTAGAGGGAGGCTCTGCCTGCGCAGGCCCGCAGCACTGGGCCACCTGGCAGGGGACCCGGCCGCCGGCCACCTCCAGGGTCACACTCGCATCTGCCTTTGCAGAAAGGAAAAAGAGACCATTCGTATCCAGAGCAGGGGAGGCACAGGCTCCTTAAAAAGCATTTTGATGTAATCCAAGCAACGTGTCAAAGCGGTGTGGAAACAGAAAGGGCATTTCTAAGACAGGGCTTCTATCTTTTTATCCGAATCCATACATGTTTTATTTAGTATTTACTTTGGCTAGAACATTTCAAAGACTCTTGTGTAAAGCTCATCTGTTGCATGCTTCTACTACCCTTTAGCTCTGAAGCAGTGCAATGGTAAAACCTGGGAACATGGAGCCTACAGGCACTCTCCAGCTATCCGTGTGCCTTGGAGGAGTCAGCACTGATCTGGCAGGCTTAATGCAGCTTGATGCTGATAAGCAGAACTGGTTCCTAGGAAACATGCTAAGAGGGAAGGAAGCTTCAGGGCTGTCACATTCCCCAGATCCAGGGAAGCCTCAAAGCCGCCCGGTGCCGGGGGCAGGACTGGTGCAGCAGCGGGGAAGGACTGCTGCTGCAGGAACCCCGGCCGGGTAGGCAAGGGCTCTGCACGCCGGCCAGCAAAGTGACACCGGTAATAGGCTGTCATCGTGGTTTATCTTACGTGGTACACAAATGATGTTTGCTCATGAAAAGTAAAGACTAGTTTGGGGGGAGAGGAGAAGGAAGCCAACAAGAATAACTGAACTGTGTTAATTTATTTCTAGACCTTTATGGAGTCTACTGGGGCGCTGATCTTTACATGGGTAAGACAGCATACATCTCTCTCTCTCTCCTGTACCTTTACCAATCAGTCCCATTCTGCCTAATTTCCACAAAAGCCTGTTGTTCTTAGCTGGACAGACATTAACAATATTTAGATCAAAGAAGATTTGTAGGTATTCATGTGCATAGTTGCCACCCATGCTATTAATCCTAAGAAAAAGTACATTATTTTCCATTCTTTAAATAATTTTAACATGTTCCATGGCATACTTTGAAAGATTGTCCAGAAAAAAATGCTAGGAAGCATGAAAATATTTTCATATACCTTTAAAATTATCTAAATAGCCAACATGCTATGCATGCTTAACTTTTTTTATAGTTATCATCTATGAGAATTATCAATCATAAAAGCATTATTTCAGCTATCCTGCTATATTCTAGTACACTATCTTGCATTGTGGTCCCTCATGAGAAAAAAAAAAAGGATATCTGAGAAATGCATTAAGATGCTTAGCTTATTAATGGCCAGTCATATTTAAGCTCGCTTTTCTTGCCCTAGGCTTTTATGATCTAGCAATGGAAAATTTTTCTTCGTATTTTTCAGAAATAACAGAAAATTCCAAGAAATGGAAGCCGCTGCTAGTAAAAGAAGAAAAGCTGAGTATCATCAGGGTTAATAGCTCCTATTTGAGATCCATGAATGATTACAGAGTTCCTTTTCTATATCGAACTTTCAAGTCTCATTAATAATATGCTGCCTCTCTGGGACACAGATGCGCTTATGGTACGAAGGCTATTTATTCATCACATGCAATAGAAGAGCTAGAGGAACAATGGCTTCAAAGGTCTCATGCTTATATGTTTTGACAGTAGTTTGTTGGGCAAGTGCTCTTTGGTACTTAAGTATAACTCGTCCTACTTCTTCCTACACTGGCCACAGACAGCTCAGTAGCATATCCATAGCCAGAAAAAACGTTTCCTTTGGCAACATAAGAACTCGACCTATAAATCCACATTCCTTTGACTTTCTTATCAACGAACCTAACAAATGTGAGACTTGGTCATTCTTATCAGCACAACCCACAAAGAGTTTGATGCAAGGCAAGCCATTCGAGAAACATGGGGAGATGAAAACAACTTTAAAGGAATTAAAATCACCACACTATTTCTTCTCGGAAAAAATGCTGATCCTGTGTTAAATCAAATGGTAGAGCAAGAAAGCCAAATTTTTCATGACATTATTGTGGAGGATTTTATCGACTCTTATCATAACCTCACTCTGAAAACGTTGATGGGGATGAGGTGGGTAGCAACATTTTGTTCAAAAGCAAAGTACGTTATGAAGACAGACAGTGATATTTTTGTAAATATGGATAATCTTATTTATAAGCTGCTCAAACCTAACACCAAGCCAAGGAGGAGGTACTTCACTGGTTATGTTATAAACGGAGGACCAATAAGAGATGTTCGCAGTAAGTGGTACATGCCAAGAGATTTGTATCCTGACAGCAATTACCCACCCTTCTGTTCAGGCACCGGCTATATTTTTTCAGCTGACGTAGCAGAACTCATTTACAAAACCTCCCTTCATACCAGACTTCTTCATCTTGAAGATGTGTACGTTGGACTCTGTCTGCGGAAGCTGGGCATTCACCCCTTCCAAAACAGTGGCTTCAATCACTGGAAAATGGCCTACAGCTTGTGCAGGTACCGCAGGGTGATCACAGTGCACCAGATAACCCCAGAAGAAATGCACAGAATTTGGAATGACATGTCCAGCAAGAAACATCTTAGATGTTAAGATTTTTACTGATGTAAATACTTTTTTTAAATTTTGGTTTAGTCTGGTTATTTTTTGACACAGTGATCTGCTGATTTACAGGTTAAACTGTGGGATATTAACCGTGAAAGGATTTTTAATGACTGATTTTTCATTCTCATTTTGACTACTGGTTTACAGACTTCAGGCTCTTTTCATAAGGACATTACACCAACCGAAAGGACCTAGAGTCAAATCTCAGATTTTGTATATTGACCTCCATCACACATTTCAGTTCGTGCATCTGTATGTAAAATGACAGTAATAAACTATTATGAGCTGCTTAACAGTTCATGCCCCAGCCTCTGAGATAAGACTCAGGCCCTAAGAAAAGAAGAATTACAAACACTCTTTTATTTCTTTTTTGACACCCTTCAACCATCTCTGTTTTGAGCTTTGTTAATAAATTGAGTCGTATACATTTGCACTGACCTTATACACCTATCTTGACATGTATATTTTATAGTACAATGTGCGCAATTCCTAAACAGCTTACTGATGGTGTAATAGCAGAATTTAGATAGGTAAGAATATCAAAGTCTCATAGGCCTTAGAAACAAACCCACACACTGAAGTATATTTTCATCCACCAAATGGTATTCCTTTAAATTATTTCAGAAGACACCCTATTTCTTTCCACTGCCTAAAGTAGCCCCTAAAAGATATAATACAATTTTAAAATGAAGTAGAATCTGTAGGTGAAATAAGACAGGGGAGATATATGAAAAACTATCTTAAAAATATATGAGAAAAGTATGAATATCTTTTAATAATTTCAAAACAAGTGCAAAGTTTCTCATTAGTATCAGTGGATCTCTCCATGAAGCATCTTTCATAGCAATATATGATTACATTGAATGACAAAAGTGTCAACAAGCAGCATATTTCTTCAACATCAGTCAGTGCACTATTTACCTAAAAAATGTAACACAAAAGCAGGTTTTTAAGGGTAAGTTGTACTTTTTGCTACAGTGCATATATGAATTAGATTCTACTGGATTTTTAATGGTGTAGAAAAGTAGAATCCTGCCCAATAAAAGAATGCAATTAATTTTCTGTTGATTGGGCAACAGAGTACATAACAGTTATGTACAACTTTCACAAAAAATAGAGGGCTTTTAAGAGTCACCTATTAAAGAAAAACAAATTCTAGCCTTTGTTACAAATCTGCAGCTCCCAGAGCCAATCGTCACTGAGGTCCTGCTCAAGAGATCCTCAGAGCACGTGACAGAAATCAAACACACAAGATTTTATTCAAGTCTCATAATGTGATTATGTGTTTTGAATATGAATATTAATGAAGTGTCATGAAAATTATTTCCTGGAAAATCCTTCGATAAATTCAAGCCATCTCTGTTCAGCACCACCTTCTAACAAAGAGCTAAACTATGACATTGCTCAGCAAATAGCTCTGAATGAAGAACTCAGACAAGTTACAAAGATACAAAACTCACCAAATATATTATTATTAGCTGTAGATTACTCACACTGTCCACAGCACACACAGAAGTCTCATTCATTTCAGCTGGCATTATGTGTAACATATAAAACACTGTTAAGTCTGTACGTTATTCAGGATGTCTATAAAGATGCCAGAAATTAACTGAATAAGAATTAAAGGAAAACTCTGACCCAATTTTGCCATAGGTGCACATAGCACTTTACAACAGTAACAGAGGAATGAAGATGCTACCCCAAAAGGTTTGCAGCTTCATGACAAATTGTTAGTCTTATTCACAGATGCAGCACTACCATTTTGAAAGGAACTACTTGTAAGTAAGGTAAAGCGCACCTGGCCTTCAAGACACAAGCAGTAGATGTCTCAAACAAATTTACTTCGGATCTAAAAGTGAAGCTACACAGTAGACAGCCCAGGAGTCACTGCTAATCAACAGCAGCTTGTGCACCCTTCATAAATGAAAATCAGTAATTTTATATAAAAACACTGAATCTCTTGAAGCATAATTAAGATTTCTCCTTCACTAGTTGACCGAGTCCTTGTTAAAGTTTCTGTTGCTTCCTGTCAAACTCAGAACTCTAGCTAACCAAGGTCCAACTAATTGCATAGATGAATATATAACACACCCCCCTCAACTAGGTGAAGTTCAGCTTTCCTTACCCAAGCCCCAGAATACGCTTGTTTAGGAAGGGAAACGAGGGTGGAATTCATCCCCAGCCCTTGGGTAAATCAGACAGCATAGCTGTCATCCTACCTGGAACACACTTTGTAATAATTTCAACCCACAGACTGCAATCACTTCTGCCATCCCTCTGCCCTGTGCAGTAATTTAAGGTTGCTGAATTCGCAATCGAATGGATTTGGTGGCCTTAGTTTTTCCTGCTGATGCTTCTGTGGCCTTTGGTTAGTAACCAAGAAGATAGCAGGGCTCCCAATCCAGATACCTCGGCGCTTGAGTAGCACGGTAGCCTTGAACTTCTCCTAGTACAAGTAGACTGCATTAATGATTGGAAGGTACACCTTGAAAACAGTATCTGAAAAAATGTATTTCCTGCCATTTATAAATAGATAGATCTTCAACAGAAGTGTAAATGTTCATCTTGAAACTGATGTACATATTTCTAAGGCATTTTCTTCTGTATTCAGCTGTATATACGTGTAGAATCTGCTTGCTATGTAGTATTCTGTTATGCATGGAGCTGTTAGGCATTATATTTGTCCAGTGTTTCAAGAGCCTTAAGCATGTGCGCCCTAACTTTTGAATGTACAAGATCTTTTTTTTCTTTTATTGTCAAGTGAACTTAAAAGAACACAACAAAAGCCTAATTTGCTACTTCTATTAATTTTCTGGTACTAGACTTCACTAGCTTGTTACACTTGCATAACAGATTTATTATTTCCTCTTTGCTCAGAAATTGCAGTATTGCAACGCGGAGCTAGAAAGGGAACAATACGTCTACTCGTCGGGACAGCTCACTGTTCCTTCCACTCAGTAGTATTTGTGCCACGTGGGGTACTGTTAACAAACAAGTGTTTGCATTGGGCTTCCTTTAATCAAAGGAAATATTTATGTTACTTAAACATCATTTGGTTTCACTGGGCATGGGACAAATGACAACAATGGTTAAGACGTGCTGGCTTCTCATCACTTCAAAAGTGTAACTATAATCACATTTTGATTCCAAAACGTACATGAACAAAGCACATTGAGGGAAGAAGCTAGGGGAGAAATGCCTCTCTTTAGGAGGAGTTTTTCACAAAAGCATTTTTTGCTAAAACCATGAGAGTATTTAAACAGAAGTCTCAAGGTTCCTCTTTCATCTTTCTTAATAATAATGTTAAGTATCAATTCCAATTCTTTATTGGGATTTTTTCTTTTGTCTTTATAATGTAGATGGCAATGGCAATTTGTAAATGAAGAGTGTAATTAACTAGAAAAGCTTGTCAACAGTAACTGAACTTTAGGTGTATCATTATATATGACTGGCTGTACTTATGTATTTATTTGTCTAAATTGTATATATTGTTTTATCTATAGTGTCTGTAGGAGTGCATTCTTTTAGATTAAAGTATTATTTACAGTTTTGTGGGATTGCCAGCAAAGCTGCTAATCAAGATACTATTTTTTTGTATCAATGTCAAATAATAAAAACAATTAAGAACAAAATCAAACGAAAACTTGAAGGTGTCCTGTAAGTTTTCCTCTTCACTTCTTTCTAGAAAAGTAAATGATATTATCTGAAAACACAATACCAGTGCGTAGGCTCGTTTGTCATAAGGAAGACTATTGTGCTGTAAAAGGAGATTTTTAAAAAATATTTGGAAAAAAACACACAACAAAAATATTACTTTTATTCATTATTTGCACAACAACTTCATCAAGTTGATGTCCAGGCTGATCAGCTGTACTGCTTCATTTGACACCAAAGACTTAATCTTAAAACAGCCATGGCAATATCTGGCAAATTAGCAGATGGGTTCACCATCTGTTTTGTCCTACTCAGCTGCTTTGGCAACCCCAGCTAACGAGACCAAAGTTTGGCAGTTCTAAGGTGGCAAAGCTGTTTGACTCCCTTGGGCCTGCAGCACGACTCTTCTGCTGCCTCCATGGTGCCTTAATGCATGTGCTTGCAGCCATCAAAAGCTACGCGCAGGAGAAAGAGAGAAAGCACGAATGTCCCAAAATCCACCTCTCATAAACCCACAATAAACTCACTTTGAAGTTGCTATGTGACCGCCGGAGGGTACCCCTACGGAGGGAAGGGGTCCTCCCTTGCCTCTCAGAGTCACATGCTGACCCTGACGGAGCCCCAAGCCCCCCAAGAGCACCAGCAAATAAAAGCAGCAGCACAATCTGAATACACCCAGGTTACCCAGTTGGCCTCATGCAGTGTCCGTTTCCCAGCACAAATATATTAAGATGCTGTTTTGTCGGGTAGGAAGGCCTGGGCGACCTTAGAGTCTTCCCATCAAAATACAAAACAAAAGAACACAAAAGCAGGACAAAGTCCCTTTCATTGTAAGAACTAGTCAGAGTAATTCCTCTCTCTCTCCATTCTCCCCTTTGCAGTTTCACATGTAGAACAAAATATCTAACCTCTTTGACTACTGGTTTCAGAGCTCAGTAACCCAAACTCATTCATAAAATTGAGGGAAAAATAACACACACTCCTGAGAAGAAACGTAGCTTTTGCAAACCAAAGTGTATTTTCTTTGGGTCACCCATTTCAGAAGCAGCTGAAGCCTGCTAGAGTTCTCAGGCATCCCAGGAGTGTCTGCAGCAACTTTACAGATCATAATCAGATGCTTTAAAACAACTAAGAGTTTCACATACAGTAAAAACCCCTCCAATCATTTTAATTTTTCTCTCATTTTCACCATAGCAGCCTGAGTCTAATTGCAACACTTAACACGGTGTTTAATTAATATACAGCTTGGAGATATACAGATATTAACATTAGTAGGGTGGATTTCATGTAGCTTGATTATCTTAATTACAAGCAGTCTATTTTCTCATTTACTTAATTGATTGTCATAGATTTCCAAAGAAATTTGCACTGCCCTAAGTGAAAACAATATGTAAAAAAACCTTCTTAAAACTGCTAAAGCTGGCCTATTTGAGCAGCAACATGCCAGAACAGGAGATCCGTATGACATGAGACATTGTACTGAATAATATCTGCTTACTTTTCTCTTGTTAAAAATAGGAATCTATGAAATAGAAGAAGAGGAGTCATCAGGGGAAAAAAATGAATATGCCTTATTGATTTAAC